TCAGGTGCAGCATATATCAACAGGAAAGAAAGTGGAGGAAGTGGAAAGGAAAGTTGTTGAGCAAGACAATGCCAAGACTACACATACGGTAAGTAGTTCATTTGTTGCTTCTGTCACATTTGGCTATCAAAACGAAGAAATTATATGGAGAAACCCGCAAATTTTCATTTTGAGAGTTTTGAGTCAAATGATAAAAGAACATTTTTAGAGGTATGTACAGGCAAAATTTGGAATTTTTATGTGGATACGGATAGTGTGCGGAACCATTGCTCAACGATAGCTCATACTATTCATTTTTGGCGTGAGATTACGGTGTGGGCAAAGTTTAGAATTGAATTCTTTGCTCACAGTGAATCAAATGAGCTGCTTTTGAGCAATTGATTACCTAAGAACTCCCAACAACCATATCACTGACCTTGGTTCCGAGAATTGCACCGAGACTGACATAATAATTCCAGCGAAGATCCTACATTTTTAGATCACATCCAAAAAGGCCCTGACACCCAAGGAGCCTCCAACCACGATTGTGAAGCAAGATGTATTAAAAGAGAATTCATTACGATCAACAACTGAGAAAGAACGGGTTGAAGAGCAGAAGAAAGATACCGCAAAGATTTTGAAGACAGCTCGAAGCGCTTTGGTAAAAGCTGTCGATAAAGTGACGATCGAGGAGTCATCTAAGGTAAGAATACTAATTATTACTCAATAGAAAAATAACAGATTTTCTATAGGTCGACGGAAAGACGACAAAATTCTCAGTGGCTGGAACAAATGACGTGTCAAGAAAGGTGAAGGAGCTAGCACAAGAAACTTCGGCCCCACAAGGAAAAGCAAAAACTGCGGAGGTGACTGCTTCCGAAAAGGTAGGAATGGTATGATAGCACGCTTTTGATGATATAAAGTCGACGAATATTCTAGGTGAAGGTAATTTTGGAAGTAGGAAAAAATGGTGAAAAATGCTCAGTGGAGAAGACCACTGTGCAAAAGGTAAAATCTTTCAGGTTTTTTTCTACATATCCCACTAATTCTGATCGTTAAGGTTGTTGTGAATCCTACCGCAGCAGCAAGTAAAACTGATATCAAACCCGGCGCTTCGCTGAGATCCAGAAGTGCATCGCCTGGTGTGAAAAAAGTACCAAGCCGAACTTCCAAAGAACCGAAAGAAAGTGCACTCAAGGATTTAGAAGCTAAAAAGGTGATCAGACGTGCAGTGTAGTAAATTTGTAGCTAGATGTAGTGGGATCACGATGCCGAGAAAATGCGGTAAAACTTGCGCGTGAACAAGTGGTAGCGCCTGAAATGCCGTTGGTCTGCGTGCGCAAAATTCTGGCATTGCAGGCGTAGCTATTTGTTCACGCGCAAAATTTGCCGCATTTTCTCGTCACCGTAAGCACACTATACTTACCGAGAATTTTACTTGATTGTACAGTAAAACATTCAGAAATACAACAAAACTTTTAGAAACAAGAAGGACGGCCCCCTGCTCCGGACAAAAACACCACGGAAACTGTTCCTGAGCCTGAGAAAGTGCCGGTTGCCATCCACAAAACAACATCTGTGAAAATGCGAGAAAACAAACCGGATAGAGACGTAGCAACTTTGAAGAAGAAAAGAGCCACCATCGCCAGCTCTTCTCTGCAGGACACACAAGAAGT